AAAAAATTCCATTCTTTGCTATTTAAATCTGCCACGTCATGGGACCCAGTCATCTTCGGCAGCTGGTTGTGGCGCGCCGGCTTGAGCATGGCATCAAGCACCTTGTGTGCATCGTCTCCCCTGCCGCCTGCAGCAGCCGCGAGTCCAGGGTTCATATAGGCATTCGCTGGGCCACGCGAGCGACGGAGAGGATGAGCTGCTCGAGCTTGACCTTAATGGCGAGCAGCAGCGAGCGATGGAGAAGACGAGCTGCTTGAGCTCAATCTTAGGCCATGTTCGCTTATCTTATAATCCATCTTTTTCAGCTTGTTTTTTCAGCTGGAACAATGTTTTTCTCTTACAATAAATCAGCCGGAACAATATTTCGACTTGTTTTTTCAACGAAGCGAACGGAGCCTTAATGGTGAGCAGCAGCGAGCGATGGAGAAGATGAGCTGCTTGAGCTCAACCTTAATGGCGAGCATCATCGAGCGATGGAGAAGACGAGCTGCTTGAGCTCAACCTTAATGGCGAGCAGCAGCGAGCGATGGATAATACGAGCTGCTTGAGCTCAACCTTAATAGCGAGCAACAGCGAGCGATGGAGAATACGAGCTGCTTGAGCTCAACCTTAATAGCGAGCAGCGGCTGCTTCGGGGCATCCCGGCCGACGTTGCTGCACCTGCAAATGCTTGAGCACCGTGACGAACGTATTCAATACTGGTACCCCGCTCTATGTGTCGCCGCCGCTGCCGCTGAGGCCATGACATAGCCCGTGAAGGGCGACAAAGAAGCAAAGCTCAAGGCCTATCAGAGGAATGGAAAAAATCGTAGGAAAAAGCTATGGATGTAGAGGCAAAATAGAGGAATGAAAAACTACAGGAATGTGGTACGAAAATATGTTTGGAACACATGAATCCATATCATAGGAATAAAAACATTATTATTGAAAGAATGAAACATCCTTAGTACTTAGTGATGTATTAATTAAAGTTATTTATAGTTATAGAAGCATTTTAGACATATACCCATGTAGGATGCTCGTAGCCATGGGCCCACAAGGCTACAAGTTGTTCACGGCCCTGAACATGCGGCTGCGTTCGGCTGACCCTAAACCCGGCTTGATTCGCTTCTTTTTTCAGCCGGAACAGTGTTTCTCTCTCATAAAATATAAGCCGCTACAGTGCTTTTCAGCCGCTACAGTGAATTTCCCTGGTCAGCCGAACGCAGCCCATGTTTGATGAGCAGTCTTGTTTACCTTTATTACTTGGTAGAGCGTACAAACTAATGGCAGAATTAAGTATGTTATTTTCTCGGACTTTGTGAAGGAAACCAAACCAAGAGATGAGACTGGATTCTTTTTTTTTCCTTTGAAATCACATGCCTGGGCTAGTATTCCACATGAAAGGAATTGACAAATCCTTTGATTCAAACCTTTCCTCCCAAACTTTCCTATGGTTTTGTTTCATGCACTTTTCATATGAAAATACTCCATTCTAAAATGGCCACGAGGGTGCAGACTGCAGCTGGTGCACGACGCCAGCGCCACGCTAGCTAGGTCCGGCACTGGCGGCGGCCACGCAAGCGCATGCCGATGTAGTAGTCGGCCAACGTGACGAGCAATATTCTTTGATGATGCGCTGTGCGGGAAAAGGTCGGATAGCCAGCGACTCTCGTCGTCCAAATCTAGTGACCGAGTTTTCAGGAACAGACAACGACTAAATTTAGAGAGGCGTTTACACAATCTGTTGGAGTCGGGGTTTTTTTGTCAATAATAACCATATTTAGCATTACAAAACGTTTTAGTCAATCTGGAGATACTCTAAGATCCGGAACCTACCGGCTAGGTATGCAAGTGAGTAGGCAATAGTGTTTTTTTGTCAGCTAACAAATTACAGTCAAATGCCATTCTAGTTTATATTTCTACTTTTCTCAAACTACGAAAATACCATTCTAGTTCATTTGCCCAATGACCGAAAATAGTTTGAACTTGCATCCTTGCTGCCGGCTTATATAAACTAGAAGGCTCTGTGCGTTGCTGTGGGACTTTGTTAGAAATAAAATTGTTGCATGTATGAGTTAAACATACATGTTGTTAGTCCCTCCGTACACAAAAAAATGCAATTATATGATACATGTCGGTCAAACTAGCTCAAGTTTGATCAAGTTTATAGTAAATAGTATTAACACTTATGCCTTCAAATAAATAGTATTAACACTATAACAATAAGCTAAAGCTGTTTGAAGCCCTGCTAAATGGATAAAAAAATGCTTGAGTATTGGTATTTTGGCTTTTACTATATAACTAGATATACGCTATGTTTAGAAAGAAAGAAAAGTAAAGTTCCCTATTTAATTTGGGGACTTGATATAATCTGACTTGACAAGTTTCTCAAGGAGCTCTTGGAGATGCTCTAAGTAGTTCATTTGTTGTGAGTTTTCTTTTCTGCTAACTAATCGACTTAGTTGTTTGAATAGGTTTGGTGAGATATAAGAGCAGCTTTAAGGTCAACCGTGCAACGAATCCAACATTGGACCGTCGAAAGGTCCGAGTTAAAATGGTCGCACAACATCCGAACGGCGGATTATTTTAGGCTTGTTTAGATTGTAAATTTTTTCGGACATTGTAGTACGACCAGTATTTGACAAACTTTGTCCGATCATGGAGGTCGTCTCAAAAGAGTGAAAATTGTGTAATTATTTATTTTTTTTCCTACAGAATGCGTCCAAAATTGATGTAATGGAGAGAAAGTGAAAAAACTTAAAATTTTTAATCGACTCGGCCGCTGCGTCCATGCAAAGCAGCCGCGCACGCTCCCTCCATGGCAGCTGCTGAGAGATACATTTTTTTTATTATAGCATGCAGGCCCTACAAATTGATGTGCACAACAACAATCGAACTTTAGCTGTGTTCGGTTTTTCTGGATGGCATGTGGTTCGCTTTCACACTGGAGGTGCCCCAGCATCTCCTCCAGCCGTTTGCCTCGGGAGCGTTCGGCTGGCTGGCTGAGCCGGCCAGCCTGTGCAGCGAATTTTTCTTACAACAATCGCGATAAAATAGAAACGATATTTTTCTCTCTACAGGTTCTGTACATTTGGGAATTATCTCAAACATATGGGGGACATGGTGACTACCCAATCGTGTGCTCTCCCCATGTGTGCACCCTTATCTTTTTCTTTTTTATCCCATTTGACAATAACGCTATAGTTCATTTCTATCTATCCTCACAATAATTTGAATGTTAATAGTCCAGCGCTTAACATTAAACAACAATTCAAATACAAATTTTGGTTGTCATAGGTTGAACTAAAATTCAACTTTTCCACGTCATAATTATTTAAATATTAAAACATAGTCAACATGGGTCTTGAAACATTTGATTAATTGCAAGAAATACGGTCATATACTTTGTTTAAAGATTTGATCTCGTATTTAAGAGTGGAAACCATTTATTCTAGAAAAAAAATGCGACCATGTAGGCTTGCAGAGATCTTTTCTTTAGCCACAGCCCACAGGAGAACACTCGCTGGATGCCTGGATGGACCCTGCTGCGGTAAAGTATGGGCCAGACCCATGAGACTTCTCGGATATCGGACTTCGAATAGTAAAATTCATTATGCAATTCAACAATGTATAAAACTCCCATCATTCCATTCACAAACTAATCTGTTCAGTCAAATGGGATCTACTTTATGTAAAAAAAACAATACACCACGTAGGGCTTTGTTTGGATACACTTGCATCCAACGGAATCCATTTGTGTTAGAGTGGAACTAGTTTAATTTTTACTCCAATTCACTCTAGCACATATAAATTGAGGTGCATATGAATGCATCCAAACAAGTCATAAGTGAAGAACATATCTTTTTATGCAGTTATTGCCCAGACTTATTACACAGTTGCAAAATGCAAATTAACTAACATTCAAACACCCTATGCATGTACTAAATGATTTAGGTTTAATTTGAGTTTTGCAAAAATAATATTATGGCGGGGTTTTCCTCCTCCAATCAGTTATGAAAATCAAACATCTAACGACCCTCTAGCACAGTGAGACTTATATCATTTATGGACAATTGCTTGTTGTCAACTGTCTTTCTAGGTGGGCAGTGGTCTCTAAGTGCAAAATACGTAGGTTGCTTTGGCGTTGGAAGCGGTGTCATTTTGTTCTCTAGCATGAACACAACCACCGACATGAGTGGCCTGCAACTCGGATTGTCTTGAACACACAAGAGGGCTATATGGATGCGTCGTGAAACTTCGTCAAGGGAGCAATTCTCCATGACAGATGAGTCCACCAAATCTTCTATTTTTCCTTCTTTCCATATGTTCCATGCCTAAAACATTACACATCAGTCTCACATTCAGAGATCATATTTTGTCTCGTGTGGATAGTTCTGAATTCTGACCATGTCCTTGTACTTACATATGATATAAGGTTAGAAAAATCCATGATTAGATGTGTTGATGAGCTAATCTTTAATCCACTTATGATCTCCAACAATAGAACACCAAAGCTGTAGGTGTCAGACTTGACTGAAAATGTGCCTTGCATTGCATATTTAGGAGACATGTAACCACTGTGCAAATAATTTCATAAAAAATCTTTGCATATTTTTGAAACTGTAAAAAGCAAATGAATTCTAAGAGTTGGCAGTGCAGCTGCTACTTACTATGTCCCGACAACTCGGTTAGTATTTGCTTGGAGTTGGTCGTCATCACCACAGAATATCCTAGCCATGCCAAAATCTGATATCTTTGGGCTCATCTTCTTATCTAACAAGATATTGCTTGATTTGAGATCTCTATGGATTACAGTTAATCTCGAGTCATGATGGAGATACATAATTCCTCTAGCAACCCCCTGGATTATTTTGAACCTTCTTGGCCACTAAAGCAATGATTTTCTTGCAGAATCTAATAAAAATAATACAGAAGAACAAGGCATGTCAGAAGGCACACATGAGCACATTTATTTGTTGGGTTTTATTAACGATATGAACAATTGGAATTGAATGTACCAAAGAGGAAGTAATCCAAACTTTTGTTGGGTAGGTACTCATAAACTAATAGCTTCTCATCTTCATGAATACAACAACCAAGAAGCTTAACTAGATTCTTGTGCTGCAACTTTGCAATTAAGACTACTTCATTTTTTAACTCCTCGGTGCCTTGCCCAGAACCCTTGCTCAGTCTCTTGACAACTACTTCCTTTGTGCCTTCCAACATTCCCTACATGATTTCATAATCCAGAACTATAATTTTTTTACAACAATGTAATTTCCTAGGTAGTCCCAAACTTTTTTATTCATACCTTGTATACTTTGCCAAAACCTCCTCTCCCAATCATATTGCAATCAGAGAAATTATCTGTTGCTATTGCAATGTTTTCAAAGCTAATAAATGGGAACTCTATTATGTTCTTGTCACCAGATTCATCCATAGAACTCAAGTATTCTAGCATCCTTCTCTTCTTTTGTCGTTTGCCTGCAAGTAGTAACATCAATGTATCCCTTTTTTCTAGAACATCAGCACATTAACACTGCACACATTCTTTAAAACGATGGCTCTTGGTACCTGTTGTTTTCCATGCCCAAACAAGCGCTCCGAGTGCAAGTAGTAGCACACATGCTATGATCGGGAGTAAAATGTTCAGCAAATTGATCGTGTTTTGATCTATACAAGGAAATGTATCATGTTAGAGTTTGTTGCATCAAGCATTGCTTACGATTGTGTGATGAGTTTACTTTACCTCTAAAAAAGAGTAAAAGATGGACATGCAAATATTCAAGAACCTAAGTACCACTTAAAGAGTTTCCTCGTGGATATTACTGATTAGGGTTTTGATATCATGACGCTCAGTCAAGTTATATGCTCATATATAATTTTTCCACTGCAAACATCGAAAGTGAACCTGATGATTAAACTTTTTCTTCTTTTTTGGCTGCTTCGGTAGTGTCGAAACTAGTACATAGGAAGAGATATGGAAAGCTGTAATGGTTTATCTGATGTCTGATCGATCTAGTTGATGTCATGGGCAGGGTAGAATAGATCAGGGAGCACTACAGTACAATGCTTTTTGTACATGCTCAAAATCAATTTTTAAAGACAGTTTTTGAAACCGCTACTAATAAGGCGTCAATTGTAAAATGAAACGCTTACAAGGACAGTTTATAGCCGCCCATGAAAATGAAATTTAATTCTCATGGATGGTTGACTTAGTCAACTGTTCCTAAAAGTATTTTGAAAATCACAAAGATATTAAATTGTGCCAATAAATAGAAAAAACATATTTTGCCCAAGCCACCACATTGCTATTCAATTATAAAAATGAGATACTAACAAGGACAATTTTAAAACCACCCATAAAAATGGAAATAATATTTAGAGGCAATTAACTTAGTCAACCATTCATAAAAATATTTTAAAATATAAAAAAGATACTATTGCACCAAAAAGTAGAATTTTGTTCCCAAAGCAGGCATCCAACAATCACTACATGCTCATAAGGATTCGAACTCATGACATTTTGCCTCGCACAAGCCTTCATTGCCACTGTACTGCACAATTACTTGTGACTAAGTATCTGATGCTATTTTTAATTAACTTTTATAAATTTAATATTCAATACTTTAGTCCCTAGACAAACTCAAATAAGAAAATGAACTGGAACATTTTAGATCTTATCGAGTAATGCAACTTTGATATAGGGAGAGTTTTCATTTAAGGTCATTTGACAATTCTGAATTTCATAAGAACTTAAAACGTATATTTTGGCCTCTAAATGATCTCAAATAAAATCAACTATAAAGTTTTAGATCTTGTTGAGCTCTAAACTTTTTATATAAAGTTTATCTTTGTCTAACTTTTTTTTTTTAAATTATGAGCTTATTTGCTCAACAGTTATTTTTAAGGGTGGTTGACCCTAAAAACAATTTTTAATAGTGATTGACTAAGTCAACTACCCATAAAAATTAACGATTTTAGGAATGATTGGCATAAGAAAAAAAAAAAAAAAATTTTAAGGGTGATTTTATTAAGTCAACCGCTCCTGAAAATTGATTTCTAGATGCTATTTGAAATCTACAAGGCAGCAAAACATTACTAGAGATGGTTTATTGTGTGAACTGCACCTGAAAAAAATAGGAAACGATTGTAAAAAAAAATCATTTATGTAGTAGTCTAGTTGGATGGAGAATTGCGGTGAAGGTAACAACTAGCCGACTGGGTCTCAGCAGCTTAAGCCTAGGCACAAATACAATAACCTCACAGACTTTATCTCTAACTCAAACCCAAAATATCTCTAACTAATCAAGTATCCCTAACCCCTCCCCCCAACAACAACAACAACTCAACTTGTCCTCAGGTTGGAACGATAGGTACATGCATGTGAATTATTGAGGAGACCCCACACGATAGCTGAAGTTTTAAAGTCCATTTAATATTAGGACATATACGGATGAAATCCTAAATTGTTTCGGAGTAATCTTCATCTTGCAAATAGGCCATATGATGGTGATGGCATGATTCCTTGTCACGTTGACCACTAATGTCACTTCTGAGGAAAGAAGGATGAGGTATTAGGGATGCACGTACCAGGAGATTTGCCAAGTCGAATGTACAAGACCTCTTCAAAGATTTGCTTCCCCATGTCGATGAGATCCCCAGCCCAAACCAAACACCTCGATGTGTCGCCCATAGTATCACCATTGGTTAGGTTGGCGTAGGTGTATGCCATACACGAGCAGTTTCTAGTGCACTCAGCTGCACACTGCTGGAAGCTTCTATTCCTAATGTGCAGGAACTTGTCAGGAAGCTTCATATTAGGCATGGCCATGAAGTAGTCTTCCTTTCCACATTCTAGTGCTTCCCTTCTCTGGCATCCTCTAGAGAAGTTGAGACTGTCAAGGAGCTCAAAACCGTCAAGACACCGGCATGTCGGGATTGCCTCCGTGCGGTCACAACAGCCGAACGGACCACAAGAGGCGTAGAGATCACAGCCATTAGGAACCTCAATGATGATTGCCCATGACGAAGTGGTGCTGTTCCAAGTGAGGAGCCTCCCATTGCCTGTATAGTCCAACGAAATGCGGATGTATGGTGAGCCAGGCGAGACGGTGTACATATAGTACAACTTGTCCGCCGTGTTGATAGTTGTTTGGTACAAGATCACGTCGACGCCATTGATTTGTTGCATGCCACCGGATACCGGGTTGCCATTAACAACAGGGAAACGGAAGTATGGCAACGCCCCATTCCAAATGAATAGCTGAAGGTTTGAGGTGGGATCCATGCCAAGAGAGAAATCTCCGGTTGATGGATCGTTAGGGCCCTTCCATGCAAATAAGTGTGTCGCCGGTTGTGCCTTGTAGCTTAGCAGGACCCTCATGGTTGGAAGAACGTTATCGGTCGGGTGATCGAAGCTTTGCCATAGCTCCGTGCCGTTCGGCGACCGAAGGACAAAGTTCCCGGAGCTGAGTAGCACCGCGGAAGCTCCGGCGCCTCCTCCACCTGTGTTTCCTTTGCCGTCCAAAGAGTGTGGCCTTGGGAATCTGACAACACCAGCTCTGAGTTGCCGGTGATGGCGAGCTTCGCTGACGGTGTTTTTATTGGGTTGTCACGGTTAGCGACCCATACCACAGTGCGTTCTGCAATGTGGTGGTACCAGATTCCTATGTACAGCTTCTTGCTGGAGTCGGTAGGGGAAAAGAAGCCAAGAGCAAAGTCTCCGCCCTCCGAGATGAGCGTGTCTTTGGGCAACAGTGGCTTTGTTTGTGTTAGCTGGTTGTCGGATCGACAGAGTGAGCTCAGGAATGTGAGGATGATGAAGGCGGCAATATAGACCATATCAATGTCCATTAGGCCTTTCTTGTTCATCATCTGCCTAAGCAGTGTGGAGGAAATACTAGCGTCTAGTGTTTATATATAGACGAAGATCGAGCATCTCTGGATTATTGACGTATATATGTAACTTTCAACCATAAACGTTGTACGGGCGAGCGTTGGATGATGGCGAAGTCAGCAATAATTCCCAGACGACGTTTATTGTCATCTGTTGCTAAACCTAAACTAGAGGTTCTAGACTAACAAAGCACCGAGGAGCAGAGCAGATAAGAAGCAGCTCAGCGGTGACTGCTGGTCAATGGTCAGAACATGTTCTTATCAAAAAAAGAAAAATGGTCAGAACATGTGGCTTCTTTTCTTGGAAGAATTAGGGTGCGTTTAGATCCAAAAAATTTTGGATTTTGGCTCACTGTAGCATTTCGTTTGTATTTGGTAATTAGTGTCTAATTATGAACTAATTAGGTTCAAAAGTTTCGTCTCGCGATTTCTCGATCAACTGTGTAATTAGTTTTTTTTTCGCTCACATTTTAGTCTGCATGCATATGGCAAGATTCGAGTGGCTGTCTATGCAAAATTTTTTGGCAGTCTGAACGGGCCTTAGTCCAAATAGATGCGGGAGATCGAGGGCTGGCTATGCTCAGCGGCTGGCGGGCTTCGCTTGGCCACTACCGACGGAAGTGAAGATGGGTATGCCCCTTTGATGCTAATCTCTCCGCAGCATTTAGGGCCTCTTTGGCACTGGCTTATGCCGGCTTCGGCTTCATCTATTTTGCGTAAATCGAGGCACTGTAGCGTGAAGCCGTTTTGTAAACCAGGGTTAAAATGAACTAGAAGTCAGGAAAAAGCCAGTTTTTCTGGCTTCACCGGCTTTGGATTCACCGGTGAAGCCGTTTTGCATGAGCCGTGCCAAAGGGGGCTTTAGTGCCATCAGCGACAGCTCGACGTCTCGCGCGCCTACGTCTTTGATCGATTTCTTCAACAATAGTCTACTCCCTCTATTAAAGTTTAATAGAGCACATCATCTTCATCTCAATTTTCAGTGAGTCAATCAATGTTAAATGTAAATAAGTTTATAGATGTACACTCTTTGGAAGAGGAGGCGCAGCCGCGTCGCTGAACCCTATCGCAACAGGTGAAGGGGGAGGATAACGGGGCGAAGCTTTTTTTCCGACAGATACGGGGAGGATACGGGAAGAATACGGGAGGGATACGGGGAGGGCCGCGTCGTCCTTCAATTCACGAGCTGGGCCTCGGCAGAGAGGGATGCAGGGGTCTCCAGCATTTGTTTTCTCGAAATAAAAAAAAAACTGAATATACGTGGCTGTATGTAGGAGTTCTCGTTTTCAAACAGAGCTATATGCACGTACAGCAAAGGCGTTCTGTACAAAAACGCCTCAAAAGGTTGCAAGTAATTAAGGCATTTGTGATAAAACGCCTCTAAAGATTGTACTTATTTAAGACGTTTTTTAGTTTTGCCTTTAAAAATATACTTTCAAAGGCCTTTTAAGAAAAATGCCTTTATACAACAATAAATTAAGGCACTTAAAAAAATGCTTTTGACAAAACGTCTCCTATAATGGGACGTGTTGTAGCGAGGGGGAGTTCATCGCTAGCTTGGAACGACGTGAAGAGAATGTAATGATGAAAAGCCAACTTGCTAGCTCGGAGACATTAATATCATTTGATATTTACTAATCATACACTAATATCATCATTAGCTGAGTAAGCACTAAGCAGGTGCACCAAGCGAGCCAGGCTCGGCAGAAAACGTCCGATTCGCTCGTTTCCGCATAGCCTGGCTGTGGGGTGCCTTTTGCATGCGCGGAGCCTGACTCGACTGCAGGAGCAGGCAACCAAAACGGCGGCACCCTACATCCCACCAGCCTGGCTCAGGTGGATGCAGGGAACCAAACAGGCCCTTCGGCGTTGCTGGTGGGCCTTGGCACGCGGATGCTATGCGCTGTGAAGCCATGCGATGCAGCCAGTGAACAAGAAACCAATTAAACAAGCTCGAAGTTCGGCCTGGCTCACTTCAAGCTTGACAACCAAACAGGCCGGGCTGCATCCACGCGTGCTGGCTGAGCTGGGCTTGTATCTCGCTCGCAGCCAGGCTGGGGCTTGCACAGGGTACCAATCAGACCCAGAGTCCTCCGCTGAAAGGTCCTAATGGTCAGAGGGGAATGAATAGACTATTAAAAAATTCTACAACAACACTTAACAAACCGGTTAGATAATTATGAGGTGAACTAGTCTACTAAAAATGCAAGCCACCTACCACAATTCTAATTTCTATAATTTCTATCCACACAATGGCTATATCACTACACTAAGTTAGTGTGCTCTCAAAGACTAACTAAAGAGCCACACTAACCAAACTAACAAGCTCCCACAACTAGTAACACTAAAGAGCTTGATAACTAGTTTGCGGTAATGTAAAGAGAGAGAGTAAGATGGTTATACTGCCGTGTCGAGGAGTGAACCAATCAATCACAAGAATCAATATCAATGAGGATCAATCACCTCGGAATCAAATGATGACACAATAATTTTTTATCGAGGTTCACTTGCTTGCCGGCAAGCTAGTCTCGTTGTGACGATTCACTCACTTAGATGTTTACGCGCTAATTGACATCACACGCTAAACCCTCAATAGGGTGCCGCACAACTAACCAAGATGAGGATCACACAAGTCACGAGCAATTCACTAGAGTATCTTTTGGCTCTCCGCTGGGAAAAAGTCAAGAACCCCTCACAATCACCATGATCGGAGCCGGAGACAATCACCAACCTTCGCTCAACGATCCTCGCTGCTCTAAGCCGTCTAGGTGGCGGCAACCACCAAGAGTAACAAGCGAATCCCGCAGCGAAACACGAACACCAAGTGCCTCTAGATGCAAATACTCAAGTAATGCACTTGGATTCACTCTCAATCTCACAAAGATAATGAATCAATGATGGGGATGAGTGGGAGGGCTTTGACTAAATTCACAAGGTTGCTATGTCAATGCAAATAGCCAAAAGGGTGAGCTAGAGCCAGCCATGGGGCTTAAATAGAAGCCCCTACGAAATAGAGCCGTTGTACCCCTTCACTGAGCACTGCTCGGGGTGACCGGACGCTCCGGTTAGATCGACCGGACGCACCCTGCCAGTGTCCGGTCAACAGATGGCTACCATGTCATCCCTATCTTCAAATACTGAGCGCCCGATCCCAACGGTCAAGTGATGACCGAACGCAGCACAGTGCCACAACCGGACGTAGGACCTCAACATCCGATCACTTCCAGTAAGGTTCCAGCTGTGACCAGATGCGTCAGTTTGATCACGACCGGACATAGGACCCCAGCATCCGGTAACTTCTAGTAAGCCTCCACTCGTGACCGGACGCGTCCGGTCATGCCCGACCAGACTCATCTAGCGTCCGGTCACTCACTGTCTCCTTTGTGCGCTGCCACGTCAGTAGGACCAGACGTAGCCAGCCAACGTCCGGTCACGAAGTGACCTAGCGTCCGGTCGAAGACCGATGCCAGTGTCTTCACTGCTTCCACTGACCGGACGCTCCGGTCCAGTTGAGACCAGCGTCCGGTGCACTCTGTGAAACCCTGTCTTTTCTGTACAGGGCACCGGTGGCACCATCGGATTGTCCGCACTCTACGGGCGGACACTCCATCGGTAAAGTTTCTTACTCTTGCTCCCAAGTGCTAAACACAATGTGTATAATCTTTGTGCATGTGTGTTAGCATATTTTTTACAAACATTTCCAAGGGTGTTAGCACTCCACTAGATCCTAAACGCATATGCAATGAGTTAGAGCATCTAGTGGCACTATGATAACCGTATTTTGATACGAGTTTCACCCCTCTTAATAGTACGGCTATCAATCCTAAATGTGATCACACTCACTAAGTGTCTCGATCACCAAAACAAAAAAAACTCCTATCAAGTTTCACCTTTGTCTTGAGCTTTTTGTTTTTCTCTTTCTTCTTTTCCAAGTCTAAGCATTTGATCATCACCATGCCATCACCATCATCATGATCTTCACCATTGCTTCATCACTTGGAGTAGTGCTATCTATCTCATAATCACTTTGATAAACTAGGTTAGCACTTAGGGTTTCATCAATTCACTAAAACCAAACTAGAGCTTTCAATCTCCCCCAGTCACTTTCACAAAAGGGTAAGCTTTTGGTCACAATCTCACCTCCACTCTTGAGGCCACTGAACCGCTCTCTTGAAGGGCTCCTTCCCCAGCTACGGTTGAGAGAGGCAAAGAAAGGCGATTCGGTTGCCGTCGACGGAGCCATTGGTCTCTTCCGCCTCCGATGGCCTACGAGGCGTCGTGAGGTGGCTGAGACCACCGGTCTCTTGCTGGCTGGTGGGGTAGGTTGTAGTGTAGGTCCTAGGGTTTCTAGGTTTAGTGTCCCTAGCGGCACCGGTGAGGCGGTGGCGGTAGCGTCATGATAGAATAAGTCCTCTTGGTCTCTTCCTCGCCCTGTTGGCGCTTTACTCTAGCGATGACGGTGAGTCCATGGAGGTGGTACTCCCTATGTGGAGTCCTTGTACAGGAGTCCATGGTCGGTGGCCATTCCTCTTGGCATTTGCCGAGGTGAGGTGGGTGCTGGCTTCTTGTTTCAAGGATGGAGATGAAGCTTTGGGTCTTGCGGCAACTTGGAGGACGAATCGAGCTCGATCTCCCCATGGCGGCGGTTGTTGTTGATGGCACCACGCTTACACACAGTTGGCCACTCAATCCTAATTAATCAAGGCTAGGTTGAGCGCTATACGAACCTATGCATGAATATAAAGATAACTTCAACTACTTCTAAGCATGTTAACATCATAAGCATAACCTTGTGAATAAGTATATAACATGAAGCATTGAAGTCTCATAAGATATGAAAGTATTGATACAATGGCTTACCAAGCCTCCAAGACTGGATCTGGAATCTGGACATGAATCCACTCGACCCTAACTCTCAAGATACTAATCTACTACATTGAAGAGTCTAGACCTAATCCTCCTAGTGTATCTTGATATTGATCTCTGATGGATTTCTCTAGAGATTGCAGAGATTAGAGAGATGCCCTCTAGGAGGAGTTATGGGGGGCTTATATAGGGGGGCACTAGGAGTCCTGTGGGCCCATGAATCCATGGCAACGTCAAATATGGACCCTCGAATCGAACCGATCTTGAGAAACGATATAGATTTGATCTTTAAGGCGGTGGAGAACTGACATACGAAGGAGAGGCTAACAGGGCGGTCCCATAGGTCCAGCTGGACTAGGGGTTGGGCTGGCCGGCCCACTACCGGCACCATTTGGCCCAATCTTCAGCGGTAAATCTTCTAGATGGTTCCAGAGTCTTCTTAAGTCAGTTTCATCGTGGATAAATGTGATTTGACCTGACAATTGGGCCCACCTTGCTCGTTTTCTGGATAAATCCTCTTGCATTCATAGATTCACCAAAACTCATGTAATTTATTAGTTTAAACCCCTATACCTTTGTTTGGTGATTGAATTAAGTATATATGTAGGATATGTTGACGATTTATAATGAGTGTTAACTACCGTCAACAAACTCCCCTAAGCTTACCTTTTGCCAGTTCCTGAGCAAAGTTAAACTTAAACAATGGATCAGGAGTTGCTACAATACTTTCACGCCTGTACACATGCGTTCAATCAAATATTCTCCTCTAGATTAAAATAAACTGACTTAACTTTCAAATTTACCCATATTACCTTCAACCATGTGACTTCTTAGCCTTCACTTGGGTCTCGAGCAGTTGAAAGATAGAACGATCAAGTCAAGCACTATGTCTTGTTCTTTTGCTCAACCTTATTATGGAGGTTTTATAAGTTTTTAAATAAAACTCAGAGATTTCTTTATATGATACTCTCAGATCCCTCTATATGTGGTATTTGTGGATTCTCACTCTCTAGTCTCTCTTTATGTGTGGTATCTGTGATCCTCTCCAAGGCGTATCTTATTGTTGCCTTTTCTTCCTAAAGCCTTTGTGGAGTTTATAGGTAGGGATAAAAACTAGAGAGCATACTTGCAATGCTATATTGTAAAGTCAAACAATAGATCCAAAGAGAAAAATGTTATACAATCAAATTAAGATGTGCATGTGTGTGGAATATTTAGTGGATATATATGGTGGTTATCCAAATTCTACTATGCTCCTTGAAAATCTCTCTCTTTTGAAACTTGAAAATATTTTTGTAAGAGAATAAGGGCTATCTTTATTCATTTTTTTCTTTTTAGGCAGACATCTAAGTATCCATTGTTTTCAATATCTCAGACATCTTTTATGTCCACTTTTTTTTTCATAAACTTTTGTATAGCTCCTTGTCTCTTTTCTGTAACAAAACTATTGAGAGATAGCAACAAAAACTTGGAGCATTTATTTTGAGTGGAAATCTATCAAACATGTTTTTGTGTTTACCCCCAGTGTAGGAGTAGAACATTTTTGGGTAGATCTAACTAGAAGGCATGTTTTTGCGCCTACTCCTAGTGTAGGAGTAGTGCATATTTGGGTGGAGTGTACATGATCTTGATTTTAAAAGCATGACAAGCTTCTCATAAGGGTCAATAAAGCTTGACAAAACTCAACACATATAGAGGCAGCATATAAGTGGAAGGTTTTCCTAATCTAAATATATGACATTGGTAGGAATTTTAGTTTTGTCTTACAGGAACTTATCAAGATTATTTTTTATTTTTTAAAAGAAAATACTCTGAAACTTAGTTTCACTCTGGAACAGGATAAATAGCAGCTCAGACTATCTCATATCATATTCGTCAACCATATAGTCTTAGATCAAACATTCGCTACTCACGAGTATTAAGTTCAAAGTAAGTTCTTATATCAAATCAAGTCTATCCAACACTCAGGAGAATTTTAGACTGAAAACTAGGCACTTGAAAGGAATTACAACAGAGCAACCATTCATCATGTCCATCAAAAGTTTATTGAGGAGAAAGTCTTAAACTCCCTTTTTATTACTAACATATCTTCTTATTTATAAGTACAACTATATTTATTTTATTTTATTGGTACTAAACATATTAAAGAAAACTATCACACAGCTTTTATTTTACCTTATTGCCAGAAATGCTTAAAAGTAAAATTAAGCGAAAAGATACCTACTTGGATAATTGGAGATGTGTCTCTCCCAAGGTAGCTTATTCATGGGAATGTATCTCCCACAAGCTGGCTTTTGATTTATTTTGTTTTATGATTTATTATTATTATTATTACCACCACAATGAACATTCATATGGGTTGTTACACGCCATAAGATTGCTCATATGGGGCTTAAACATTTACTTGATGCAAAACTTAGAATGAGACTAAGTTAAATTTATTTTGTAGAATTACAACTTTTTTATTTTCTTTTTATATATGCCATGCATACAAGTTTTCTAAAGGCAATGCAGAATTTAAACATGCTAAAGTTAAAATTATGTATCTATTATATGATTATGCAATTATTATTTTTATTGTTTTTTAGATGCAAGGCATGAATAAAAATGCTAAATGGAATAAATAATCATGGATAACTACTGAATTACCTTTCAATGAGAGTTCGGTGTTTTAAGTCCTTCGAACGGGACTCCTCCTTGTGAAGTTCATTGATTGAGTACCTTAGTTTATTCTTGAAGATGAGGATTCTTGTGGTGGCGCCTCCAGTAGTGGTGCCATCTTTTTCTGCCAAACCCGTCTTGATTTTGAGTTTAATTTTGGTTTGATAGGTTTATCCTTCTTGACTTGTTCTTCTTCTTTGTTCAGTGTTAGTAGTAGAAGCTGGTGACATCTTGTGTGCATCATTATTATTGGTTTAGAACTTTCACTTGTAGAATTTGAGGGATCTATTCCCCCACACTTTTACTTGAAGTGTGTTCTGCTCATAAAGACAAGGTAGAGATCAAGTGCATGAGCTCTATTGGTGGGAAAACACCAACAGAACCAAAACTTTATTTATTATTCTCTAGCCTTAGGCATATTGAATTATGATAAGGTTGATGTTATGTGCTTTGTTCATTCTTACAACATGGGTGATAAGATCAGAAGGATGAGCATGAATGTGGCATTTGAATACATTTGTCAAAAGAGTGGAGTTGCTTAACCTATGGAAGGATTGTCCATCTTTTCATAATGCATCAAACTTTATATGATTATGACTATCATCTTCCAAAGATAAGATATGCAACATTTTAGCTCATTTAGTTAAGACTATGAAATCAAAAAAGTGGTGCTATGAACAAACTTAAAGAACAAGATATATTGAGTTAATTAGGTTGGATCAAGCAAAGTCGTAATCCAAACATGTTTTGTTTCTTCATTTATGTTAACAGCAGGATCAAGGGAAAGCTTTTTAAATAATGACCACTTACCTTAAGATGTTACCTTCATCATTGGAGCGTGATGACACCATGTGATGAAGGGTAGATGACTTGTGGTTTTCTTTTCTTCTTGCTTCAAGCTTTCCTTGCTTGAGCTGTTCATGAGCATCAATCTTGTCTCCTATGTCGCACTCCTTTTTTCATCCTTTTGTCATGCCATTTGTAATGACCCGAGTTCATTATAACTTAGGCAGTCATTTTTGGTCATCGAAGAAAGCAATCACCCAAACTTCTGTGGAGATCCCTGGTGCTCTAAATGTGAATGATCGCTGAAAAACCCACCAAAGATGAATCATAATCATCCCTAGATGACCATGGTCAGGCTCACACCCCAAGCAAGGGAAGGAACCTTATATGGGACAAGAGATACCCTATTGACATCATCAACACCAACTCAACCTCAGAGATTACATCAAGACACAGTAACCCAGTCTCCATCGCCAACCCACGTGATAGATGAATCAATTAAGCAAAACCAGTGAAGCATCGGATAGTCCGCTAGATCTACCGGAGTATCTGATAAATCTCATATCAACAATAGAAAGTGGGAAATGAGTTGTTTGCCAATTATGGAAGTAGAGCCCACATGTCAGCACGAAATGGGATGGATATTTCTCAGCTAAAGCCACTCTCTCACTCATCCTCCCATTTGCAACATTCACTCTCTCTTTCTACTCACTTAAGAATAAGCAAGAACCCTAGAAGCTAGAGAGGGGAGAGATTGGAGAAGGGTTTGAAGAAGATGAAGGAGAGGAAGAAGGAAAGCATCAGCAGCAGCCTATGAACACCCTTCACCCCTCAACCCCTTCATGGTGAGCTCAAGATGAATCACCCTCATTTCTTGGATTTCCACCCAAAGATCTAATCCATGGATTTTGATGCAAGATTGAAGACTTCTTGCTAGTGATGATTCCATCATGTGTAAGTAAGTTCAAGTTCTTATCTAGTTCAATCATCCAACGATTTTGTGGATAGTCCTTTGAACCTTGTTTTGGTATATTGCAAGAGAGAGTTCATATGGAGCCAAATCAACTTGTGGATAAAGAAGCAAGAGTAGAGAAGGTTTGGATCTTCAACCTTTTCGCTATGGAAGCTCTCTGATCTCAGAGCTAAGGTTTTTATCTTAATCTAATGGCTCATTATCTAGTTCTTGTATTCCTAAGTTTGATCCTAACCTATAGCCACACTTAATAAAACAAGCTTCAAACCTAGCTATCTTGAGCCTAGTAAGCCACCTAAACTATCCTAGAGATGTCTTGCACATGCATAGATCACAGCTAAGCACATCTAAG